AACAATGTTGAGTTCTGCAAGTGGTAGCAAGATGAAAGACTTCTGATACTGAAATAATTTCTCTTTCATTTCCTTTTTCAGGTGTCAGTGCTATGCAAAAACATTCTACTCTGCACATTTATATACACTTCTGGTTTCTTCCTCTGAAGGCCTGTCTCTGCCAGAGTTATCTGTGCATTTATTTTCATCCCATCCCATAAACCATTCACTCTGCTTTTAAAAACTGCCTTTTCCATTTCAATTTTAAGTAAGTAAACTATTACTAGTTTTGTTTGTTTGTTTGTTTGCTTGCTTTCTTGCTTGTTTCTTTATTTTCCTTTTAGGATGATGCCCAACAGGGCTCAGTTTGACCTACTTCTGACTTCCCTAGAAACTATTGCAAAATCTGAGGGATCTATTCTTCCATACATTGTGCTTATTGTTCAGCATTACCTTCAGTTTCAACCAGGACAGCTGAGAAGTTAGAATCACTTCCTCAGCCAAAAGGAATCATTGCTGCTGACACCGAAAAATGTTTTCAGTACTCTGGGTCTTCATTTTACCAAGCTATGGTTTTGCCATGGTGTTTTGAATGACTTCCACAGCTGACTGCTTCACAGTTCCTAGGATGCTTCTGATGTGATGCATCCTCAGCCTAGCTTCAGCCTTGCTTGCCTTTCTAACAGGAGACTCAGCTGGGATTGCAGAGACAGCATATCTGAAGGGGTGTCTCAGGGCAGGAATCATGAGAGGAGCATGCTGCCTTACTCACCAGGTTGTCAGCAGCAGGGCAGAGACAGCATGGCTGTGGGATTTTTCAAGGGTCACTGAGGGCAGGTACATGATGGCCTGTTTGTTTGCTTACCTTACAGAATAAATAATGCATTGCACAGATACTGTGCTGAGAGGGAGGATGCAGGCCAGCCAGCTCCCCACACCATCCTTGAGATTCCTTCCCCGCAGTTATTAATGAGGAGTTCAGGACTGCCCAGCAGCTGTATGGAGGCAGTTGCTGATGAGATGTTTCCTCGTGTTTCCTGGAGTACCTCTTAACCTTCAGACTTGCTTTGTAAATGCACCACATCATTTGTGGATTTTCCAATCTAGTTTATGAAAACTATAAATCTGGGTCCATGGCTCACCTGGTGCTCCAGGAGTAGTGCTCCTCATTGCATAGGGCTGGAGGTGCTGCTGGGAGCCCTTCTATCTTCCAGCTGATGTGGCCCCTGCAGCTGCTCAGGGGACCGTGGCTGTGCTTTCTGTGGGGGGAGCAAGAAGTGCAGCCAGCTACTTAGGGTTACATCACTCTGCCATTTGGTCTGTGCAAGCACAAGGGAGGCAAGGACAGCTACAGCTTGCTGGGTGTCAATTAGCTGCGCAAAGAAAATAATTGGAAAGGCCCTTGCAGTACCTGGAGCCTGCATAGGGTTTTTCCCCTCCAGTGGTGCTGCAGGGACCCAGGCTGCCCCACTGCAGGAAGTGTCTGCCCCTGATCACCAGGGTGAACCTAGCACAGTCTGTCTCTCATGTGAATGCTAAAATGGAGTTTCAATATGATGCACTAGCAGGAAGAAGAAAAGAAATAAAGTCTCTGAAATCATCAAATGCCATTTTTCTTTCTATAGGGCAAATGCTGCCAACCAGAGCAATTACAAATAAATGCAATTTACAAATAAAATAAATGTACTGTCACAGAAAAACTGTTGTTAAAGCTGCTGTTTCCAACAAAAAGCCCAGTGTCTCTAATTACCTGCATGCACATGCGTCACTGCTGCATAAGCCACCCAAGAATTTCAAATATCAATATCCTTCTCCAGTTAAAATCCCTCTGTACACAACAGAACTGTCAAGAAGCATGAGGCAGCATAGGCCACTACAGCGTTTAGATTTGAGCTCAGTCAATGAGATGCCCAACATTTTTGTTCCTCCCTTATCACAATTTCCCTTCAGGTTTGTTCCCTCTAAGCCTGGAGCGATGAGCAGCTCCCCCTGAATATGCAGCAAGCCTTCACACTGGCCTGCTGCTCCACTCACAGGTAGGTGCGTGGGTTGGCACTGGAGCCAGTAACAACGCATCGAGGAACACCTTCCCACTGTGTGATGCCCTTGATAGTGCTAGGGACATTGATCTCAAGCTCCACTAAAAGACTTGGACCGCGAACAGGAAATGTTCACCCTCAAACATTTACTCTAGATATCTGACTGCACTGATTTCTTAAGTGCCTGCCTCTCAGAAGCTGTGAGAACTATTAAGTCTTCTTTAAGGACTTAGAAGAGAAAATGGGCAGCAGCCTTGAGTCTGCCTAGGACCGGCTAAAAGCCTCTGGTCTGTTTGATATGAGTTACAGGCAGGCTTCCTGGTCACGCCTGGGAGGAGGAGGAGGTGGCAGGAGGGGTGGGCAGTGCATCTGGGGTTTGCGAGCCTCCTCTGTGCTGCCAACAGCTGATGGAGTCAGAAAAGCAGGGATTAGCAAATCTGATGTGAAAGATCATGAACAAAGCCACACAGCTACTGCTTGTTACTCCAGCACTCTCACACCTGCCGGATCTCCTGCTGAGAGCACTGAGTTCGTGTCCTACTGCTGTTCTGTAAGCATCATGGAAGGCAGTGCTGCCAAAAACTCCTCCATCCTTCCCACTCTGGCCTTTCATTTCTTCTCCCTGCTCTGTGGTACAGAGGAAGAAATTATTTCAAAGAAATTGTCCTACCAAAAGGAAAAATTAAGTAGATTTTCTTTGGTATGGATTGGCTGAGCCCTCACACAGACACAAATATCATCAAAGAGGAGGAGAACTGTATGGGAAATTTCAGGTGCTGCAAGAGAAGGGTCTACATTTTGTCAGATGTGGTATCAACACATACTGGGCATGTGATGGCTGCATACCATTGTCCTTCAGTGGCAGAGTGAAGGGCAGAGACCGAAGAATAAAAGAAAAAGAAGAGAAAGTGTTCCTCTCTTCCAGGCTTAGGCTAAGCATAAAATAAAAGTCAGCAAAAATCACTTATAGGAAAGATGGTGTTTTCTATCAAATTCACTTTTAACTGAACTTAGTTCTTCATTGGGTTTGGTCACCCATTTTTTGCTTCTAAAAGCCAGAGCAAGTGTATGGGAGCTTGCTTAAAGGATGCTTCAGAAGCATTCATAAAGACAGGTGAGGACTATAGCTACTCCAGTGCTGCTCTGCATGCCTGAGCACTAAGTCATCACTCTGTGCTCCAGGGAGAGGGGAAAACCTCAGTGAAGGTCACTGCATTTCCTGCTAAATTACAGATATGCACAGACTCTGCTCTCTCTTCTACCATTTCCCACTGAAGGATAAGAGGCAGCCGGAAAAGCACAGTACAGCCCTAAAACAAGGAATCATAGAATTTCTCAGGTTGGAAAAGACCTTAAAAATCATTGAGTCCAACCATGACCTAACCATACTACCCTAAATCTAACAATCCTCTGTTAAATCATGTCCCTGAGCACCACATCCAAATGGTTTTTAAACACATCCAGGGATGGTGACTCAACCACCTCCCTTGGGGAGCCTATTCCAGTGCTTAACAACCCTTTCTGTAAAGAAGTGTTTCCTGATACCCAACCTAAACTTATCCTGATGCCACTTGTGGCCATTTCCCCTCATCCTGTCACCTGTCACCAGTGAGAAGAGACCAACCCCGCTCTCGCTGTAAGCACCTTTCACCTATTCACCTATTGGAAGAGAGCAATAAGGTCTCCCCTCAGCCTCCTTTTCCCCAGACTGAACAGCCCCAGTTCCTTCAGTCTCTCCTCATAGGACATATTCTCCAAGCCTTCACCAGCATTGTAGCCATTCCTTGGACCTGCTCCAGCACGTCAATGACCTTTCTGTACTGAAGTGCCCAAAACTGAACACAGTACTTGAGGTGAGGCCTCACCAGTGCCGAGCATAGGGGCAGGATTACTTCCTAGTCCTGCTCACATGTTCTTGATACAAACCAGGATACCACTGGCCTTCTTGGCCATCTGGGCACACTGCTGGTTAATTTTCAGCTAACTGTCCATCACTACACCAAACTCCCTTTCCATCAGGCAGCTTTCTAGCCACTCCTCCTCAAGTCTGTAGGGTTGCCTGGGGTTGTTACGACCAGAGTGCAAGATCCAACACTGAAACTCATGCAGTTAAACATGCCTCTGCCTCCAGCCCTGCTCACATCCAGTCTTCTCTGGTGCATCCCAGGTGTTGTCCAGGAGCTGGAGGCGACCACACTGTCACAGACTCTGGAATTGCAGCAGGGTAATGCACTGCCTGCAGCAAAGCCTGGCCTGAGGGTAGCCTGTAGTGAGAGCACCCACCCCATTCCTACACCTTGGAAAGGAGCAGGCCTGAAGCTGCACCTTGTCCTGAGGTGCCTTGACTGCATAGCAAACTGCAGTGGTGGCTTCTAGGCACAGTAGGAATGCTGCTTGTGGAGTACAAGACTTATTTGACAGAGCAAAACTGCAGGTCGGAATCCCATGCTTGATATCTCAGCCCTCCTCACCACTTCTTTTCAGCAAAAAGGCCAGAGAGGTGCCATGGCCTTTCCAATTTTGGTTCAACCCGTTTTCTATTTCACTGTAGTTGTCACTGGCTTTTTTCTTACTTGCTCTTTTTTTTTTTTTTTTTCTTTCATCTTTTTCTTTTTTTTTTTTTTTTTGTTCTGCTTTCTTGCTTCATCCTGTTGTCTTTTATTTTGCTATTGTTGTCTATTATTGTTTTAATATCTAACGTTTTGGTTTTTTGTTTCCCTCCCCTTCCTCTGCTCCCTCCTTCCCCCTTCTTTTCATCTTCTTTGCTTTCCGCCTTCTTTGGGGCTTTTCGTATTATTTTTTTCCAATTTATTTCCTTTGCTCTTTCTCTTCCCTTTGTTCTTTCCTCCTCCTTGCCGTGCCGTGCCGTGCCGGCCCCGCGCCCCCCTCCGCTCCCGTGCGGCGGCGCCCCATAGCTCTCACGCCGCCGCTGCAGCCGTACCCCACATCCCCGCGTCCCAGCGTGGGGCGGGCGCGGCCGAGCGGCAGCAAATCAGCGAGGGGCGGCCGGCGCATAAGAAGGGCCGGCGGCAGCGGGCGCCGTCCCTCCGGCGGCGGCAGGATGCACCATGAGGAGCTGGCGCCCTTGCAGCGGCCCCGCTATGGCTGTGAGTCGGTGTGGGTCGGGGACGGCGGGAGCAGGGCGCTCTGGCGGTGTTGTTAGCCTCTCTCCTTCTCCGGCTTCGGTTCGATGCGCAAAGAGTGGCTCTGGGGAGGATAAAGGCAACCCCGCCGGCGCAGCTGCAGAGCGGCGGTGCGCTCCGGCTTGCCGTAGCTTTCCTCGCAGCGACCCCCGGCAGGATTCCGGGCAGGTTTTCTGGCCGCTGTGTTGTCTTTTTAGAAAAGTTTCTTTTCGTTTAGAACTTTCTGTACGCGTTGTAGCTGCAGCTCCGTGTTGTAACTTCAGTGCTTTACGTTCTAGTCAGAGCTCCGGGTTTTAATTCTGTAGCATGGCGTTATAGGTGTCACACTGGTTTGTGACCAGAATGCAACTGCATCTTTGAAGTTACAACTTTACAACTTCTGGATTGCAGCTTCACAATTCTGGAGGACAGTCTCAAGTGTCGTCCTATAACTTAGTAGCTTTGGAGTAGACCTTTATAACTTTAAACTCCAACGTGAGGTGAAAAGCAGTGCAGTTACCAGGTGTTTCCTTCCCAGTGAACTGTATTTGTTTCCCAAACCTCCGTTTATAAAAAGTCCTGAGCACTTTCCTCCTACTGCTGCTGTGCTGAGATCTTGCTCAGCCTGTGCTTTCTATTGGTTCCTTTGGGCAGCAAGGTTTAAGCCCTTGGTTTTGCCATCCCAGTAAGGAAAGTTTTTGATACTTTAGGCAATGTTAGAAATGAATGTGTAAATTATTTGCGAAACTTAGAGTGCCCTGCAGTCTTAATGAGCAGCTTTCCAAGTTTTGGTGTGACAGTTTTATTTAAAGCTAGTTTGAAAATGTTTTTTTTATAGAAACACAAAATCTTTGACTGCTGGAGGCAATGCCTGCCTTGGGAAGAGTGGGGGAGCTGGAGCCTGGCAATGGGGCCCTCAGCTCAGAAGCCCTTCACTCTCCTGAGTGTTCCCCTCTGTGGACACCTGCCAGGTGGTGCAGTTTGAGGGCCTGCAGATTTCATTTTCTGTTCCTGCTACCTACTGGATATCCCAGAGACTTTTGGAGGTGTTCTAGTGTCTTCTTGAGATGGTCACTGAAGGTCAATATTGATGATGTTTTCTGGAGTAGTTGCTGGAGATGCGTGTTATGTGTCTGTCCCAGTGATGAAGTTTTCTTTTGGAGTTGATCTTGGAGTCACCTTAACTTGCTTTGCTGTCACTTGTGAGGCAGAGCAGGGGACAGGGCCTTGGGAGACACAGTGCTGAGGGTGACCTCTGCTACTTAGTGATCCAGCCCTGAATGGATGTTTTGTCCACTTGTTCAACACACAGGAACTCATCAGGTGCAGGTGATGTGGCCTCAGCAGCAAGTGCTTTGCTTGACAGACTTGCTCTGGCTTCTTCTTGGGACCTGTGCATCTGGGCAGATGACGTGTTATCTGCCATAAAGTCCAATGCAGTTAAAGATGCTTTGACAAGGAGTAAAGGGCCCATCCACTGTGCCTTGGTTTTCACCTGGATGTTAGGGGTTGTTGATTGCCTTCCAGCCTGAGCTGCTCAGGGTGTTGCCTTAAGAATCCTGCTCTCCAATGTGCTGTGGGAAAGAATGACCACAATTAACATGCTAAGTATTTTCAAGATATGGTCTCATAATAGCATTCTGAGTTCAGAGGTTTTTTGTTTTTTTTTTTTTTTTTTTTTTTTTGCTGGCCTGAGTGGTCAGTGTGTGAAGCTGTAGCCTCTCTCCTGGCCTTGGTCATTAGTCCCAGGGAGCAAAAGGAGTGGACAGAAGTATCCTTCTATCTTTTCTATATACCATTTCTCCTTTGACCAGTGCCCTCTGTATGCATAGACTCTGGTGGATGTTCAGTCACTCAGATATTCAGCCTATTGTAAATTGTAGATTCTCTTTATAACTCAAATTGCACTTTGAATCCCTGAGAAGCACAATTCCCTACACTGAACAATGCATCTACAATGACTTCCCTAGAAGAGTTAATAAGTTGTCCAAGTTAGACTATCAAACTTTCAAGTCTTGCTCTAGCAACCTCATACTGCTTTTAACATTTAACCTAACCTGGACTTTTGACTTTGGCTTCAAGTTCCTGGCAGAGCCTGCAGGTTACTCTGAGGAAGGTTGGTGCTTTACTGTGACTACCTCTGCTGGGAAATACATGTGTGCAAGTAGCATTTCATTTTGGTGTCTAAAGATGCACACAGATTTCAGATACGTTTTGTAGCCTGATGCAAACTGGTGTGGTGGGAAAAAAAAAAATGTAGCCCAGCGTGTAAGAGCTAATAACATAAAGGTAAAGTAATTGGGAATACATCCCTAATTTAAATACTAGCTTTGTGTTTCTAGTTTTGCTGATGTAGTTAGTCAAAGACACGCATCTGGAAAAAATCCTCATAGCTGATCATTTTCATCTTTAGAGCCAGGAAATAGCTGAACAAAACCAAGCAAGAGGATCCCCTTCTGGTGCTAGTTCAGGGTGAACACTATTCACTGAAGAAACTGTTTCAGAACAAAGCCTTTGGGCCTTCTTTTAGACTTTTGCTGCCAAAACTTTGTGACTTCATGGACCACTTATTAAAAGGTGCCTCCAACTCTGCGTGCTGCCAGTTACTTAAGGAAAAGAAAAGGTAAAAAGCTGTAGAAGTTTTTCTTTGGTGCTGTGCTGAGTCTGTCAGATGTCTGCGTCCAGCACAAACTCAAGTGAGATCATATAAGTAAGAAGGAAGTAGCTCATACAGCAGAAACTGTGTTAACAGGCTCACTGCAACTGAATTTATGTAGCTGGTTTCCAGCCTGGCTACAGCTGTTGCCTGGCTTATTTCTCAATCCCAGCACAATCAATTGCAGAGTTTGACCAAATTGCAGCTAATGGGGGCTTAGTAGAACTCGAGGTACAAGCTATTTCTGTGATGAAAATGTTTGGTGTCATAGAAGACCGTGAAGATGAAAAGTGTAATTCTTGGGAGTACTACTCAGATTAACTAAATGTAAAGTTTGGGATGTAAGGCAGCAAAGTGCAGCACTTTGTCTTTGAGGAAAATATGCTTTCCCCAAAACTTTGTTCTTTTTTTATCTTGGACTCTTGGAAACCTGTGTGAATTAACAAATATATATGTGCATTCTGTAAGAAATGCCTGAATAGTTTCATGACACTGCTAGGAATGCAGTATAGCTGTAGTGAGTGCAGCTATGGATGTCTAGATTTGCAAAGGATTTCAGGCATTTCCATGCTCTGCATGTCTGAATTAACATCTGTGTTAGTGGCCCCAGGTCCCTTTTCTAAGCAGAAGGGAAACTAAGTGCTTCAGCATCACCCAAGTTACTGAAAGGGAGATGTGAAGATATCTGTTTGAAAGAAGTATCACACAGTCTCATCCTCTAGTTTTGTTCTTCCTGTGAATTGAAGCATGGCTTTGCTATCAGTAGCTTCCAGCTTGTCTCATGTTGATGAGCAGATAGAGAAGCCTTCAGCTTCTGTGCTGAAGCTGGACAGCTGGCAAATGGGTCTGACCTGGGTGTGTGCTGGGTGTGTGCCAGTCTGATTTGTCTGTGGCATCCAGTGGTGAGGGTTGTGTTGCTGCTTCTGGTCACGGTTTCCAGGAGTGCCTCTGCCTGATGCTCATGGTTATTGGGTGAGACAAATGAGCAGCATGGAGCTTTGAGGGCTGCTCTGCCTGTGGAGATAGGCAGGGCAAACCCGAAGTGTAACACTTCCTACACCTCGATGAAACTGCACCCTAATTCAGGATGTGAGTGCTTGCAAAGCAGTGGCTTTTAGAAAAGTGTTTAAATGGAGAATCTATGAATTCGTCTGTATTGAATGCAGGGGAACAAAAGACAATTTTTTTTCAACTGGATAGGAAAAATTCTTTTGGTAAATGTTCCATAGGACTTTCTTAAATGAAAACAGATGGGTAAAAACTTTAAAAAAAAAAAAAAAAAAAAAAAAAAAAGCTTAGCTGTATCCTATGCATATATATTCTTCTGGGTGTATGCTTTCTTTAGCACTTGCGGCTCTTGAGAACACTTTCCTTTGTTATTGATGGGTGTAATTTGGCAACCAAATACTGTTTATCTCTTCTACTCTTTTGTACATTGCTAATAATTAAACTGCTGAATGAGAACTTGAAAAGTTTAACTGCTTTGTTTAACCAAGTGCTCATAATTCATGTGGTAGGAGTGGCTCCATGCTCTTTTTGTGCAAGGCTCATCTCCTGGTAAAGAAGGGAGTGAGCTCTGTTACAGCACGCTTACAGCTACTTGAACATTGTTGAAACAGGAAATATTAATATTGCACTGGAAGCAGGTTTTATAGCACACGCGAGTGCGCTAGATCAAGTCCAACTCTGGAGGCGGTGAATTGGAAGCATGCAGATGCACAGCCTGCCTTCTCTGCTAAGTGGGGTTTCACCTACACAGTTGCTCTGGCTCAAGATTTAGTGGTCACTCTTGCTGATTCCAGTCTGCTCTGAGGTTCTAGGAATATGTTGGGTGTAAGGTAGGGGAAAAAATGCTGGCAGTGATAGGCAGGATTGGTGGGTCATACTTCAGTGGGATGATAAGCACACTGTGCTGTGCCTCCCACAGCAAATGATTAACCTGATATGTTTGCTTTACTACTGAGGCTGTTTGGGTGATTTTTTAAATTTTTTTTTTCCTTTGGAACATGCATCTTCAAGCCATTATGTGTTATGGAATCAAACTGTTGGCAAGGTGGAGAGGGAGCAGTGCCCATGATGTGAGATGGTGGAGATGCAGTGGGGAGCAGTATCCAGGGCGGGCACCTTGCTTGTGGGTGCAGTGAGAAGGGCAGAGGCATGGGCTGGGCCCTGCACAGCTCTCTGGTGGATCAGCACTTCCTGTGCTTCTGTGCTTGTGCTTGTCTTCAAAAAGCCACAGACATCTGCAGCCGGGGTGCCAGTGCTTGGAGTGGGGGTGCCAGCAGAACATGCACTGCCTCAGTGTCAGAGGTGGGTGGAGGGAGATATAGGTGGGTTCCCCTGACAGGGTTTCTCTGGTCTGCCAGACCATGGCTGGTGAAGGCAAGCATTGCTTCAATCTGCTACATGGGACAGAAAAGGGAACCAGGGCCCTTGGAGATCTGTGGAGCAGAGCAAAGAAGTGCCTTGCATAAGAGATCAGCTTCCCTGCTGCCCCTCTGGTGGGCAGTTTCTCTGGTATCTGCAGAAACTCTACAGGGTACCCTTCTTTGCTCCGAATATGTTTTAAAATGCTAAAGAAAATAAATAGCTGATAAGAATGTTTGTTGTTGTCAGTGTCAAATTAAATTGCTGTTTTGTTCAAGTGAGTGTGTCTTTGCAAGAAACTTACCTAGGGGATCATGTCAGTGCTATTCTTAACACGTTGCTCAATGCAAATCTGTAGGGAGTCAAATTTGAACAGTAACTCATGGCTCTGACTCACATCCATGGACAAACAACTGCCAGCCCATGGAGCTGCTTCCTCAAGGTATGGAGCTGCTCAACCCTCAGCCTCCAGAACTGGCAGGGATTGCAGTTCTCTCCTCAGGAGCTTCTCCAGGTTGGGTACATAGGCTGAGCACTAGCAAAAGCAGGCAATAAAGGACACGCTCTCTGCACATTCTCTGTGAACCTTCACCTACTCTATTCAGTGTGTAGCAAAATCCCTGTGGCTTCCAGTGAGGTGTTTATACTGATTCTTATCTGGCTCCAAAAATCTATCTGGACATCCAGACGGGGAAATGAATACTTGTACATACTAGCCCTATTTTATTGGCCATTTCACCTAAAAAGTGAGGGTATCCTCCCACACTTGTGCTTGATTTGTACAGCTACTCAAAATGCTGGGTGTATGTGCAGAATGGGAGCCTCCCAGTAGCCAGAAGCCCAGCGTAGAGCAGTAACAGGGGAGCTGAGTTGGAAAAAGCCTGAACTATGTACATAAATATTTTCTGTTAAGACGGCCAGTATTCTGCAGGGTTGAAGGCCAGTGAATCTTCTACTTGTGTTTTTACAGGATTGTGTGGAAGGTATTTTGTAGCTCAGCACAGAGGGTACCTGTGCCTGGAAAAACAGTTAAAGTGACTAAAAACAAGATAATGTGCTTAAAAACTGAAGGACATAGTGGCTTTGCTGAAAACATGGTCCTATATCTAGGTCCAGCTTCTTTCATAAGTGAAACTGCTGATTTCATCCAGTCTTAATTACAGTGGGATCCCAGCTCCCACCTCGCTGCTGACCTTTGCAGATTCTGCATAGCCTGAACTTGCTGAGATACTTTCAGTTGATCTTATGGATTGCTGTGAGCTATGACTCTCAGCAGTGTGGTGGCACAGAGACCCAGCCTGTCTGGAGTCTGATCACTCCTTCAAAAGCTGATCTGTGTGGCTGGGTTTCAGCCTCTTCAGTGGCTGCGGTGACACAGCTGCTCATGCTGACCCTGTAATAGGCAGTATTTATGGCCAGGTGGGACTGCAGCAGCCAAGATTTAAATGAGTTTAAATTGCTCTGGAACCGCACCCTGAAGCTGTGGTTTTGTGTGTGTTTTCAGTTGGTTCTGCTGGTGTGAGAAACAGTCTTGACTCTTTTTTTTTTTCTTTTTTTTTTTTTTTTTTTTTGGCTGGGTCAGGCCTAATCCCACAGTCAGATCTGCCAGTCTGATGGTATAGCTGGCATGGGTATGAACACCAGGATCAGGCCAAGCTAATCTGAGCTGTGTTACTGCTGCGTGTGTTGGTGAAGCATGCCTGCACAGGGGCAGTGAAACATGGGGATGACAGTGTACTGGGGGGTACTGGGCACACACAGGTGGCCCTTGTGGGTGGCCCTGCTTCACACGCTGCAAGCTCAGTGCCCCACCTGCCTGCCAGGATGGACTGTCTCTCAGCTTTCTTCTGGACAAAGCAGTTTTGAATTACGAAAATGGTTGTGTTTTTTTTTTTTTTTTAAAGAATTTGCTCTCACATGCCGTAGTTTCATAAAGCCACAATTGTCAGTAAAGGTGCTGCAGCACTCACCAGGCGCTGCTGAAGGGCTATGAAAACTAAGAAACTGTCAAAACATTGGACTACTTGAACAAGAAGGGAAAAATATGCCTCTTGTACAAAAAGTGTCAGTGTATTTTTCCATCCCTTCTTGTAATGCTATTTTGAGTTGCAAGGCCTCAGCTGCGGGGACAAGAAGTGGTTTGTGACATGCACTGCTTGTTTCTGGAATTTTTACTTGTGGCAGGGAGAATAATTGGCTCAGTCGATACCTGTCAGGCCTCTGTTCAGCAGTAAACAAGGCTTGATTTCCATACGCTCTCAAAACAATGTAACAGAAGAAATAACACACTGAAATAGCAGCACAGGGCTTGTGGTAGTGTAATTTGTGCTGGAAAGAACAGCAATTACGCTTAGATTAATCTGGGATAGTATTTACCCAGGAAATATGTTTGGCTGTTTTTACAAAACCGGGCACTGAGAAAACATTATTTCATTGTATCTGAGCTCTAGCTGTTTTGAATACCACTTTTCAGAGTGTGGCAGGGCAGTTGTTGCTTGTTATGGTCTGTGATGGCAGAGAGATGGACAAGACCTGGTCTGTGTGTGTTAGCCAGATTGCCTGCAGCGGTGGGATGTGACTGCTTGTCACTTTGGGCTTGCATCACCTCTGGCCACGGTCATAATAAATCTTTAGGAAATGCATTGCAACACTCTAGAAGCAATATGTGTTCTATCATATGCAAAGGAGATAGATGCATATCGGGGGTGGCGATGGAGACTAAATGCATGATTTTGCTGAAGATATAACTGATGTGGATTGTTTTGAAACAAACTGAATGTAATTTTTTTTTAGTATTTTGGACAGTAAAAAAGCAAAATAAGGGCTGCTGTTCTCCGTGACACTGGACCATGGCAATAACACTTGGTAAATTCTCCTTTTTTTTGTACACTTGGGCAAAATTAAGTACCTCCACAAATATTTAGAGACGCTTCTGATAAAACAATTTCTGTAACATTTGCCTGTTTCTTTACCTGAAACTATGCAGTAGGCTGAGGACCAGCAATAAAGTGCTGCTGAGCAGGCTGAAAATGCAGCTTGATGAGGGGTATGTGTAAGATCTCCAGATGGATGAAGAAAAAAGCAATCAAAGTGTTCGGGTTCCTAGAGCAATAGCAGAATTTGTAAAATCTACAATTGTGATGAAGTTATTTCAATTTAATTTCTAGAAATCATAAAACAGGCTTTCTTGGAACCTGATCATCTGCATGGGAACTGTTGCTTCTTTGAAAAAAGTGTCTTCCTTCAGCTCGCTCATGACAGCAATTAACTTGCAGTCTAGCAAAAGCTGAAAAACTGATAGTGAGATAACAAGCTGTGTTGTGATAGCGAGTCTCTGCAGAAGGAACTTCCATGTAGTATTAGCAGTTGTGATGGAGCAGTTATTTTTCAGACTACTTTGATCCCTAAAGTGGTTAAGTACCTTGGAGAAAGGAGGATAACAATAGGTGGTAGGAGTGAGAAACCAGCACAAAGCCCAGGGGAGCAAATTGTTAAAGCTGTAGTGAAAGTGCAACATTTTGAAGCAGTGCTTCTGCAAAGTGAGTGGACTGCAGCTATGCAGGAGATGACAAAAGTCAGCACTGAGTCCTTGCAGATGTTATTTCCCATGTTGGGTGGAGAATTCAAAACCTGAGAACTAATAGTTCAAAATGGTGTTAAATTTACGTGCCTTGCTTGTGCTATGTTGCCACAACAGTAATGAATGCTAAATGTGCTTCCTGTGTTTTAGCAGTCTGTTTTACTATTTCAAGCAGAATGTTTTTGTTTTGAGATGTATCTCCTGATATTCTCTTGCTATTTTATTCACAACTGACATTTAAATTGTCACTGAAGTATTTTCACGAGTGGAAATACACTCAGGGCAGTGAAGAGGCTGTCCTGAGGTCAGCTCTTCTGCATTAATCTAAATCTTTTTGAGTGGAGACAAGCAACCTGAAAAATTAAAGACAAGGGGTGGACAAAATTTTTGTGTCAGTTTAGAGGAAATCTGAATTCAGTAGATCTAACAGGCATGCACCCACCAGTTTCTACACATGATTTAGTGAAAGCATATCTTGTGTGTGCAGCTGTCAGTGACTTGCAGTGGAAATGGAAGAGCTCTGTTTATTGATAAGGGGGAACATCTGGTCCACTTCTGATCTAATGACCATTGCACTAAGGTAGCTGTGTCTTTGTCAGATTGGTTCTGACTCTCAGTTTGTAGGCCATTAGACCTGTTGAGTGAAAGGGTGGGGTTTTGTTTGCTCTTTTCTAACCTTATTGTGAGAGCTGAGATAAGGCTTTTAGACTGTTGGTGCTTCGGTTCACTTCCTCAGTTTTAAATCCTGGGAAAATTTAATTCTTATTTCTGGGCATGTATTTGAGCAAGAAATAAGGGTCAGACCACTTATAGAAGTCCCTAGGGGCAGCATAGGCAATCGCTGTACAAGCAGTGCTTGCCTGTGACTGGTGCCTGGCAGTGAGGGAGCCCTGGGAGAGGATTAACTGGAGCCAGTGCTGCTGGTCCTGATAACTTTGTGGGCTCTGGTTGCTCACTGTGGAGCAGAGGCAGACAGGCAGGCTGCAGGTGATAGATGAGGCCATTACTGATATGGCACCGCCTTTGAAGTGCTTACCTGCGTGGGTACAGCATGTTTGTCCTCTACCTTCAAGAACCTATCATCTCACCTATGAAGCAGGAACAAAGAATCTCTCTCCTGCCTTACTGTACCTGGATGGACTGGCACAGTCAGTGACAAGCTTCTAGGGCGCGGTCTGGGTTTGTAAGCCCTTATGCTGCACCTCTGTCCTCCTTTTTTCTGCTGGTTCCTGCTCATGCTGGGTCACCTCAGCTGGAGAAATAGCCAAGTGCATTGTGGTCTGTGAATTCTTTTGCAGGCAGCTGAACTGCCCTCCCTGGAGAGCTGGGAACATGCCAGGAGCTGACCTGTCTCTGCTGCTAGGTGCGGAGGGATCCCTAATTGCCTGAACTTATTACCATGTCTGTATATTGATGTTCTGTACCATGTCATTACTTTTCCTGTGATTTGTAGGCCATTTTTACATTAAAACTTTTCAATTTAATTCTAGGGGTCAATTAATTCTGTAGATGCAAATTAAATTGGCTCAGCTATGTTATCCCTACTTCTTAAGGTTTTCTTCCTACCCACTGACATCTAAAAAGCTGCTGTGTGCTTATATATAAAAAAAAATTGAAATTACAAACTTCAAAGATATTGAGACTCTAGCAATTATTTAGGAAGGGAAAGCAAAACAGATACGTTCTCCAAGTGTAAAGCTGCCAATCTCATGACGTGCATGTTTTTCTGTTTTTATTAATGTACTATTGTTTGTATCTTAAAGTTAAAAAAAAAAGAGCTTTGCATATCCAGGTGTTTTCTGAATGTCCTTTCAGAGTGCGGAGAGAATTAAACAGCATTTTAGACTTTGATAGAGGACGGACTCTGCAGCAGACTGACAGCATGGGAACTAGCAGGGGACAGTGAATTGTCAAAAGAGCCCTGAAGTCCAGATGTTGGGACTGAGTGTCTCTATGGTGCAGTCTTTCTCAAGATTTACCCAGTGCTTAAGTGATGTTTTTGCTTCTGGCTTGGCTTAGGCAAGTGTTTCTGTCCTCCTGAGTCTCATAGTTCAGATATTGAGGCTCATGCAACTCTTGTCTGTGTTACTCAGTTACTCAGGCTCAGTTTTCTCTGCAGAGCATCTCTTTCTTGCTACAGCATTCCTACTTGTCACCTTTCCTGTTCTTTGACCTACATCTAACCACATTTTCTTCTGCCTTCAGTGTGAGTTTTCTGGTGGGGTGCTTTCTGATGTTAAACTCCCAATGATCTGAACACCAAATCAGTTTGCTAGCTGTTTCCTCTCAAAGAGATTATCACTCTGGGCCTTTTTTAGGAGGTGGAAGGAGCTTTTTCCTTCTCTCTCCCCTCTCCTGCTCCTATTTTTGTCTCCCTCCATTCTCAAAGCCAAGAGCAGCTGCTTATTTATCAACATCCAGGCAGAAGGCATTTATTACAAGCGCACCTGAAATTGCATTTGTGTTCTCAGACTGTCATGTGAATCAGATTTTTGACGCTTGAAAGACCAAAAACAGTGATAGGTAACAGGGAGTTATCTCAGTTGGTGATCATTTAAATGGCAAGTAGTGTTTTGAAATTCTCTTTTGGAATAATGACAGTGACCAAAACTAGGTTTCAACTAGCTTGCAATTTGGTGAAGCATCAATTACTCCTGTCAGTACTCTGGCTTCTTCAGTCTCTTGGATACCCTGTAGCCACAGTAAGCCGAGTACTTTTTCCTGTTTCCTTGAGAGAACTAAGACATCTCGAACAGCTTAGTTAGAGTGACTAGCTACTGTTTGCAGAGTAGAGCATCTAAACTGACAGCCACAGGAGTGATAGAGCCATAGGTAAACTCAGCATGTGCAAACAGAGGAGGGGTGGACAATCCTGAATCCAGACTCCCTGTTGTCACTGCAGTGAGTTCAGTCTGTGCTCTGTCTCTTCCCCCTGACAGCCTCTAGTCTTTCCTGCTCTTCTGCTCTGCAACACCTCGTGCTTCATCCACAAACATTTATGGGTGGAGTTGTGGCTGTAGGTGATGTGATGTCTAAATATAATGAAACATGCCTCTGGGGCTCAGCAGATGTGTCGTCTTGCTGTAGACAGTAACATTTTTCTGTGCCGTTCACAGCTGAGCTGCTTATTTTGCTAGCCTGGCAATATTAAAATATTTTTTCATTATTGCTTTTATATTTTGTTTGTGTTAAGTTTAATAGGTAGGTAAGGAAACTTAATCCGTATTGCAAAAATTTTAGCTACTTTATTAAAGACTGTTAGTGTATATTGCTAATAAAAAAGCAAACATTTAAAGTAATTCTAGTGAAATGAACAGAGCAAATGTGTCAAAATACATGGAATTCAACTCCCAACATTAAGAAAGCCATGGACATATGAAACTGACAGAGGAACCTTTCACTTTTTAATAGTTGGTTCCTCATGAATTTACCACTGGAGAAGGAAAGCCTGTCGGAAATTCCTGCTGGAATATGTTATATTATTTCAAATGCCTTGAGCCCCCAGTGAGAATCTTAACTGCTTTTTTTTTTTTTTTTTTTTTTTTTTTTTTTTTTTTTTTAACATTGCCTTATTTAAAAGCCCACATGAAAAACGTCATGCTGCTCTTTAACACAACTTACAACCTGACTAACTCCTTAACAGTATAGATTTTCCCAAGCTTTTCTCAAGCTTGACTGTGTTAATGACCATCTAGGTAAAGATGGGATGACCTGCCAGGGGAAGAAATAACTTTTCATTGGTGTTCAGTGCCTTTTCATTTCCATCAGCCTGAGTTCTTAAGGCTTGTAACTTTATTACAGTAATGTAGACTGAGTTGGTATCAGCAAACAGTTTCAAGATTGACTAGATAGTGCACAGAAAGAAGCTAACAGTTATAAAGGTATCCTGAGTACCTGAATCTTGGGGACAAGGGTTGCACTGAGGTGAAGTGTACAGAGATAAACAGCTTTAATAAGGAGTTACCTGAAATATTTCTACCAACAATGAGGCTGGCAGTTAAATGTCAGTGGAAGCAGCTGGCAACAGGCAGGCTTAAAAACTGCATTTCATGCTTATAATTTTAGATGACATTTGCTTTGAAACTAACTAAAATTGGTTAGGATTAGATTTTCCTTCCTTCAAACTCACATTCTGTCTCCCTCCTTGTTCCTCCAAGCATATAGAATAAATACAATGAAGTTAAAATACAGTGAGTTTTATTTTACTGCATGAGTTAAAGTACCTTAGCAGGCAGAGATGTCTACACTTTGGTATCATTGTTTAGTAAGATAAAGATAGAACTACTTAATGTATATTGCCTCTACCATAGTGACACCTTATTGTACTGCAGAAAGCTTGATGTCTGAAAAAAAGACTAAGGGTTATGTATAACTGCATGCAAAATGAACATTAAGTGTCCTAACTGTGCATATGACTACTTACTGAGTGCCAAATTCATCTGTGTAGTTAAATGTGGCTTTGTGAGAATTCAGGTATTGTAAGACGTGTCCAGGAGTCTGTCAGCCCTCTGCCAAGGTCAACATTTGACAGACTCTTGAAATCTAACAGTTTTGATACTTGGCTCCAGAAGCATGGGTTGTGGTTGCTGTTGCATCATAGACCCTTTGTACCACTAAGATTCAAGAATTGAAATAGTATTCCTTTTCTGTAAGTGGATGTGGTTGGACTTTGTGGTACGAGATACAGAAGACTGGGGCCTTTTGTCAGAGAAGTGAGGGGCAAATGCCTCTGGGAGAGTGAATGGACAGGCATAAGTCTCCACAAGAAAACTCCAGGGAAGGAGCATTTTAGCAAACACGTTATTTTGCATCAAGATGTCCTTTTACTGGACTTACTGTAGGAAAAGATGGTGAAATGGTGCTTCATTTTTCTCTATGTAATGCCTGGCAGTGAAATCTGGTCCAGAACAGTGACCCAGTAGATCCTGCATGACAGATCTGTGAGATTCTCTGTCTGGAAGATGTGTATTTGTGTATGAAAATCAGAGCCTGTATGCTTCAGACAATGTAATAACCAGATTAAGAAATCCACAGTCTTTTCTCAGGGAAGAAGAAAGCAGTTATTCAGGGGAAAAATAGGAATTCCAGACTGAAGGGCTTCATAATTTGATCAAGTGTGTTAGTCTACTGTCTCTGGCAAAACTGTCACCTATGTTGACAACTGTGGTAGATTGGTAGATTTTGGTTGCTTTACTTTCTGTTCAGAGCTCTTTCTGGAGCAGATGTTCAGCAAATTAACTCAACTTCCTTAACTGGAGCCATAGAAAGAAGATTCAGGCCATCTGGTTGAATTGCTGAGACATGTTCTAGTTGCTTGCAACTGTGCTTTTTGGAAGGGGAAGTCTATAGAAGGCTGTCCTGACCAGAACATTAGATTTTTCTACTGAAGAGAAATATCTTCCAACACAACAGCAGTCCTGTAGGTACTCTATGCCCTAACAGAACTCCTGTAATATACTTTGTTTTGTAAAATTTTTTCTTGGTGACCTTTTGAATGATCTCTGTTCAGTTTTAGGTGGCATTTTTTTCCTCTGCACAGTCTGTAAACTGTGGCACTACATACCTGTGATTTGGTATTTGGGAACAGAGACTTAGGAGGAAATTGTCTGCCTCTGTAGCTTTGAGCAGTGTTTTTCCAACAGCTGTGTGTGTAAACCTGTTCACACAATTATTTTCAGCTGCCTGGAAACACTGTAAGCTCTGGTAACAGTGAACCTGGTCAGAGAGTATGGCCACTTCACAATTCTGCTCCAGTTATAAGGGGTGGATGGTGTACCATTTGCTAAGGTAGCTCCAGGAGCAACCATTGAGCCATGGTAGTCTATGCAGAGCCAGTCCTGTCTACCTGATAGTACAAATTTTAACAGAAATAAAAGATGACACTAAATTCATTGGACTAGATGTTCATGTTATGAAAGTATACAACTACTTAATCCTGTAACCTAAGATTTTGGCATCAACCTTGATTTAAAATGCATTAAGTTTTTTCTTGAAGCTCCAACACTGAAGTGTGATGGCAGATGCTTCACGTTTAGAGACTTCCATTGTGCAAACAGCTGCAAATGGAATGCTGCCTGGAGTCTGCTCATCACTGCTTTTGTACCTGGCTCTGAATTCTCCAGAACAAAGCATCACTCTGGAGGTTTTGTGCAAGGGGCTCTTGGCTTTTATTTTTGTGTTCTTTGAGCTAATGCAGTACAACAGTTAAACACCTGCCAGTGCACTAGTGCTGGTGATATGGAGATAGACTTCGGCAGAGGAGGCAGGAAGATGTGAGGGGGGGGGGGGCACAGAATTTGCAGAACTTCCTGCCATTGAGCAAGGACTGTGAGTCACTGTGCCAGCCTTCTTATATTGCCATCTGCTTTACACAGCTCTTGGGATAGCACGCAGCTGGTACTGTGAAATGAGATGTAGATGATGTTCAACAAATACTCTGGTCAAAAACCTTTATTCTAGCATTTCATTGGAGTATGTTATCTCTTTCCTTCTCCCTCAGTTCCAAACTTATTCTTCTCTGTTACTGTAAGAGGATTTTTGAGGTACTATACTGTATATATTACTATGCGAAGGTTGGTGGTTCTGCCTGCAGCAGAGGGGTTGGAGCTTGATGATCCTTGGGATCCCTTTTAAACTAAGTCATTCTGTAATTCTCTGTCCTGTACCAATCACTGTTGTTGTGCCAAAAGTCACTGCCTTCCTTGCTCATTTCTCACTTTCTATGGGAAATTGTCTTTGGTGTCAGGAACCTGTGAGGAATTGGCACAGGCTATTAAGATCCTCTTCTTTCCCTTTGTCAGTATGAGAAATCTTCTGGTATGCTTGTGGCAAATGCCTTGTTAAAGGACCTACCTTCTATATGTAGCCATGTGCAGTTCCTGAGCTACTGCTGACAATCATGTCTAAGTATGAATGAATGACCAGGAAGACTTAACTGGTGCTATGTGTGTTATGATAATACTTTTCCCAGCCTCAGTTTTTTAAAAGAATATAAAAGCTGTTTTGGAAATTGCTATCCCAGAACAACTTGGAATTTTCTTTTTTCTTGGGAAAGGCTGCTGATGTAGTCTACCTAGACTTCAGCAAAGCCTTTGACATGGTCTCTCACAGTATCCTTCTGCAGAAACTGGCTGCCCGTGGCTTGGACAGGTTTACCCTCTGTTGGATAAGGAACTGGCTGGAGGGCCGTGCTCAGCAGGTGGTGCTCAATGGAGTTAAGTCCAGCTGGAGACCTGTTTCAAGTGGCGTGGCCCAAGGGTCGGTGCTGGGGCCCATCCTGTTTAATATCTTCATTGACGACTTAGATGAAGGGACTGAGTGTACCCTGAGTAAGTTTGCAGATGACACCAAGCTGAGAGGTGGTGTCGATCTGCCTGAGGGCAGGGAGGCCCTGCAGAGGGATCTAGATAAGCTGGATTGCTGGGCCGAGGTGAATGGGATGAGGATCAACAAGGCCAAGTGCCGGGTCCTGCACTTTGGGCACAACAACCCCATGCAGCACTACAGGCTTGGGGATGAGTGGCTGGATGAGTGTGAAGAGGAAAGGGACCTGGGGGTGTTGGTTGATGCTCGGCTGAACATGAGCCCACAGTGTGCCCAGGTGGCCAAGAGGGCCAACGGCATCCTGGCCTGCATTAGAAATGGTGTGGGCAGCAGGAGCAGGGAGGTGATCATCCCCTGTGCTCAGCTCTGGTGAGGCCGCACCTCGAGTGCTGGGTTCAGTTTTGGGTCCCTCACTACAGAAATGACATTGAGGCCCTGGAGCGTGTGCAGAGAAACTGGAAACAAAACTGGTGAGGGGTCTGGAGCACAAACCTTATGAGGAGCGGCTGAGGGAGCTGGGATTGTTCAGTCTGCAGAAGAGGAGGCTCAGGGGAGACCTCACTGCACTGTACAACTTCCTGAAGGAAGGCTGTGGTGTAAAAGGGTCTGGCCTCTTCTCCCAGGCAAATAGTAGAACCCGAGGTAATGGTCAGAAGTTATACCAGAGGAGGTTTAGGTTGGACATTAGGAGAAACTTTTTCTCTCAGAGGGTGGTCAGGCACTGGAATGGCTGCCCAGGGAGCTGGTGGAGTCGCCATCCCTGGCAGTGTTCAAGAGGCGCCTGGATGAGGAGCTGCGTGATATGGGCTAGTGCTTGTGGTACTACTAGGAATGGGGGGGTTGTTGGACTAGATGATCTTGCAGGTTGTTTCCAACCTTGCGATTCTGTGATTCTGTAAATGCTCCATAAGTTTACATTCAAAAATCAAAACTAAACTTTTTGCTTTTCTTCTATGCTCTTTGGTTCTTTTATAGGAGGTTTGAGTATGGCTTCATTTAAAAGTAAAATTCATGTATCCATGGGGAAGATTGAAAGTCACTGTGGATTAGACCTGTAAAAAACATTTACTGTCATATTAAGTATAGAGACATAGATGTGAAAAATATGGTAAACTCAGTGCTAATGCAGATTATATCTAACCCTGGGACCTTCAAAATCTTTGTCGTGGTTACAATAAGAGGGCAATATTTGCATAGCTGGCAGCTGTGGAGCTCTTGAAATTATTGTGTAAGCTGAGCAAATGAGAACCTGAAATTCTGCGTCTCTTTCCAGGTGCTGTTGTTCAAGATTACGGCCCCTGAGCACCTAATCCTGTCGCAGATTTCAGTAACTGTATTGAGGCTTCATAAGCAGTGGTAACGTTTCTGACAGCTCGCTAGGCTCAATCTAAAAGCATTTAAGTGCTCTCTATTTCATGCTGATTCAGACAGAAAAACTTTCTTGGGACACGTCATATGTAAGTGCACGTGGCACTTTGGGAGTAGCTGTCCTTGCATCAGAGAGCATCAGAAGGAATTCTTGCAATCCCCAACCCGGAAACATGTTTTGTCTACTGTTCCATGGAGGTGCTACTCCATAGCAAAATATTTTAAATAAAAGTGAACACAGCTGCAATATGTCAGATGATGGAAGTATTAACTCAGAATAGCCCTGTGTAAACAGAGTTGGGAAGTGGAGGAAACATGTAGAAGGAGAATATATAATATAGTTCTTAGAATGCCACTTTATTTTCCATTGAATCAACTGAAGTAATTGTGGAAAGAGTTTGCTTAAACAATTGTTGTATCATACTGTGTGCCACAGCAAGTCTATTTTCATTTTTGTTGAAAACTGTGACAATTTGAGCTGTAATGCTGCTGGTTGCCCCATGCTTCCTACACACTCTTTCTTCACCATTTTTCAAGGAAGGAGCCTCTGTAATGAGGGAATCTAATTCTTTTTTTTTTTTTCTTTTTTTTGTATGTAATAATGCTGGCTGATGGAGTGGCAACATCTTAAATGAGATGAAATGGGAAGCTTTTAAGCACTGTACTGGTATTTGTTCATATATTCATAACATTCTCTCTTAGAGGAAATAGTTGTGATGTTTTTCTGAATTCCAAATCCAAAATCCACAGGCTGGTATACTGAATCATAAGGTGTGATTTTTAGATATATATTTTTTTCATTATATTATAGCTCCTATGTAGTGAAGGTGTGCCTTGTTCTGTGTCATTTAGCTCTTTTCAGCAATAACATTTTGAATCTGTCCAGATCCTGCTTGGCCATACCAGTGAGCTGGAGGTCTCCAGGTGAAACATAGTCCTGTTTACTCTGTCCCAGTAACATCCTTTATAATAGCAATTTTTGCAGTTCAGCACTGTCAAGAAGCTACTGATAAAGCAGAATGCATTTATATTTCATAATTCTTCCCTAACTTCTGACTGATAAGTGCCTTGTTTGGTAGAGAGACCTGAGTTCTCTGTTGTAAAACCAAGATCATCTCTGTTGAACTTTGTGTGAATGCGTATACCCAAAGATATATGCTGAAGTCTATAGTCAAAGACTGAAGCTTTTGCCAAAAATTCTGCAGTATAGTAAACCTTAAGGATGCATAATTTTGGAAGTTTTCAAATTAATTTCCTCTGCAGTTTAATCCTGGTGCTGCCTTTATCCTGAGGTTTATCACTGCTGTTACTGAAAGTGTCTGCAATAATTTGTTTGTTGTGGTAGTGCTGTTGCTCTGAAGCCAGCATGTGCTGGAGAGACAAAGCATAAAATGGATCTTACCACATGGTAATATTGCAAGAGACTCTTCCTAGCATAAGTGGTATAGTGTTGGCACCCCCAATACTCTGATTGTTTGGAGCTCACTTTCAGCACATAACAAGATGCTTTGACCTGTCAGAAAGGATGCCTGACTTTCTAACTCCTGAGCTGCTGATACAGTACCTCTTCTAGAAGATATGTTATTTACTTTTCAGTGTCTATCAGCTACTTCTCCTCTACTTTTATCCTTTTCCCTCATTGCTGAAAGGTTCTCTAAGACTACAGCAGTCCTGTACTGTCTGTCATTGCCTTCAGCCACCCTATGAGTTGATATTCACAAAAAATTTTAATGAAGAAGGAAGGTCTGTTCCCTCTGGTATGTTCTTGTTGAGGATGGGAGGGACCTGTGGATATGTAAATCTCAGACTAGATTGTAAAGTATTAAAGTTGTTCAGGTAAGTTCCTAGAATGATGTTTATCAAGCGAGTTGTATGGTTTTTCACTCCCACTTTCAGATAAGCTACCTGTTATGCTGCTTTGATTGTGGCAGGTTGTGTTCGAAGGGCAGAGGTAAATGGTGGGAGCAACTAAATGTGTGAGCTGAGAGGAAGAAAAAATGAAAGATGCATGTCTTTCAAGAAGGACCAAGGTCAGATTCAGTACCACCTGTCACATCACAGTTGACAGGCCATAACAAGTCAGGGCAATTGGCTGGACTCCTCTGATGGATGGCAATTGCCATCATCCATGGGTCTTGTACCCCTGGGTCAGCAGTGCTGCCTGAAGACTCACTCCAGAGCTCATTGGCACAGGTAATGAAGTAGTGTATTAATACTGAACATGTAGCTCACTGGTACTTTGCCCTTGTCTCATAGAGCCAAGACTCCTGTCCAGCAGAACAGTGACAGGATGTGAGATCAGTCTGTTCTGGACAAGCTGGTGATGAGGATGGCAGAGCTCCACAGCCAGTTTGCCATGTTAAGTGTTTTATGACTTGAGCCTCACGTTTGTCTCCACACTAGCGTTTCAGATCACAGTGACCTGATTACAGCATCTGAGAGCTCTCTTTAGAGTGAGTCATGTTTATTGAGATATCAGACTTGAAAGAGACTCAGAGCAAGACATTTGTTTTATCAGTTCATGAAACTTCTGCGTAATTAGGAAGAACCCATCTTAAAAGCAGAGGAAGATGAGACACATCAATTCTTGTGATGATTAAAACTGAAACAACAAAGCTCAAAGTAACTGTGTGATAAATTAAGAAATGTATGGTAGCTTCAGTCCAGTGTGGGCAAGTAGTGTCCTTTCGTGTGTACTCAGTGTGTGCTCAGTGTATTCCTGCTTGACAACACAGGCTCTTGGTGTGCTGAAGCAAAAGGGGTCTGTCCTGGGTGTGGTGTCCATTTGGAGAAGGAAGTATTTTAAATATCACTACCGCAAAATGAAGTGGAAGTGATTTTACTTGACTCTATTTTTTTTCATTAACTTCAAATAGATGGGATCACCCATTTTTTTTTTTCTTTAGGTTCAGCTTTCAATGAATGCATTGTAAAGCACAGATTCTTGCTTTATCGTGGTGTCCTTTATCCAAATTACTCGTATCAGCTCAGGAAAGTGGTTACTCACTAAATGAGGCAGTTGCATCAGGGAAATGATGAAAACTTTCTTGAGGCTTGCATGGTCTTCATGACAGCTCAACTAAAGTTGTGTTGAACAGTGCATTTGGAGAAGAGAGAATCTGTTTTTTATGGAGTATACTTCTTGATGGTCTTAGCTTGTAGGATTATGCAGAAAGTGTCTGGCCCTGTTTCTGACCCCACCCTTTACTTGTATGAGCATGGCTGCAGTTGTGCAGTCATTCAGATCAGAGATGTGAAGAAGCTTGCTTATAGGATCGCAAGTCTTGCTTTCCAGCAAGGTCTGCTCTGTTTTCCACTTCACAAACACAGCAGTAAGTTAGTCAGCTCTGGCACAGACTTGGAATTTGTGGTTGGGAAACATGATGGAGGATAGGTCAAACTCTTCTGGCAGGCACCAGCACAAACAGGGTGCCATTTTGGTAACTGGTTTTTGAAGGCTTCCTTAAGCATAAGTTTCATGCTATGATTGAAACTTAAGACAGAAGTCTGTAGTATTGCAGTGACCTTATTTTAGATTAATTACTGGAAACATTTGAACTTCTGGGAGGACTGAATTGCTCACAAGAGGGCCTGTGTTCCCTACGAAGGGGGAGATCAGTCATGGGGTAGTTGTTAATGATCAGGGATGTTTCCAGCTGGAGAGGTGCAGAGAGTCATTCTTAATAGGTTCCTTAATAGGAAGTGATGTGGTTCAGCAGTAAGGAGTATGAATACCACAGCCCTTTCATTTGCTTACAGCTCTTATCACAGGGCCCATCAGTGAGAGGCAGCTCGTTCTGTTGCAGGTTAACAGCTTGCTGAAACTGCAGCTGGCTCCCAAGTTGCCTTGAGATATATTTGCAGTGCATTATTTCTATCTCTGCTGCTGAAGGGGCAATTCCTCTACCAATGCTCACTTGGGTGGTCCCCAAACTCCTCCAGGTACGTGTGAGCTGAAACTGTCAGCTCCCACACATAGCTCCACCTGCATAAGAATTCATACATGCCCCCAAATCAGGTAGCAGACAAATGTGAGACCTCCTGGGTCTGAGCAAGCGGAACTTGAGGAATTCACCCTCCAAGAGGAAAAAGTGGTCTAAATGTTTGAGTGCCAAAAATGACCACTTTCCTGGAGGACAGATTTAGTCTGTCTTAGTTTCTCTTCTTTGCATAGGCTTTCAGTAAAACTTCTCTAAACCACTCCTGACTTGTGTGTAACTTGATATGGGTCTCTGTTTGCAGCTATTGTGGATGATGAAAGGCTTTCAGCAGAGGAGATGGATGAAAGGAGACGTCAGAACATTGCTTATGAGTACCTCTGTCACTTAGAAGAAGCAAAAAGGTAAGTAAATGAAAACATTATCACACAGCCTTTAAATACAGAAGTTGAGGCATGCTGTTTTCCTGAACATTGTGATACATAAAACAACTATGGGATTAAGTTAGTATTGGAATTTCTAGCATTTCAGTATGAGAAACAAATGCCTAGTATGGAAAGTTTCCTTGAAAGAAAGAGTTAAAAAGTCAAGAACATCTCTTTGGAGTTGCTGTGGTGACCAGCTTCAATGAAAGCAAGGGCAGGGTGCTGAAACTTAGGTCTGTGGTTTTGTAAGATGTGTCAGGCTCATGTAATAGACTGGGGAAATGTTTATCGTCCTGGCTGCATGGTTCTCTTCCCTTCTTGATGCCAGCACTTTTGTGGAGTGACTTGGATTGCTAAAATGGCAGATTATCACTTGAGATCTTACTGGGTTAATGATCTGTACCAGCTGAGTGTTTTAGTGGTAGTGTGTGGCAAGTGCAGGCAGAGCAGTAAGACAGGGACTCCTTGTCTTACTCCTCTAACACATTGGTCATGTTTACTCTTTTGAAGTGGCAGCACTGATCTGCAAGGACAAGGGATTTTATTACTCCTACACAACTATACCACCACATTTATTCTTCTTTCTCAAAACTAATTCAGCAATATTTTTGTAATTACAGACCAAGAAAGTGAGGTGGAATATCCTTGTGCTTTTGGAATAGCTCAAACTGCTGCCATTATCATTTGTAAATGTATGCTTGTATAATCAATGAATATTAAGATGTTATAATTATGAAATAAACAAGAGTTAGGCAAAGTAGATTATGATAACAAAAAGAGAATAGATAGAAAGCTAACCCATATACTGGGCTCACTTACAAAACTCCAGCACAGTGAACCTCCAGAAGAGATCCTTCCCTACTGGTAGCCAGCTCTTAAATAGGTCTAGGAGAGGTGAAGCCTGGCTCCACCCCTTCTGGCAGCACAGGTGAATTGCCTTCACCTGTGCTCCTGTGGCTGAATTATTGCTAGCCTCAGGTGATCAGTCAGAGATTTAGGCTGTGACTCAGCAGTTCCCATAGAATAGTTTATGCTCAGAGATGGAACAGAATTTTCCAAGATGCTGTCATGCTCTATTGTGTCAGTGATGCTCTGTTGGTAAACCATCCCACTTTGCTTTGCATCTCTTGATTGCATTTTATTCTTAATCTCCAGTTGGATGACTTTCCTAGAAATTCCTGTATACAAATGGAAACATTTACAATGACAATTAGAAATACAAGATATAAAACCTGGGAAGTATCAGTGTGATGACTAAGCACGGAATTCTTAGAATGGAGCAACCTAAGGTACCTCGGTCAGGAATCGCCAACAAAAGAGTGCGTTGGGCTTTGAGACTACAGTGTTCTCAGTCACTGTCTGGCACTGACAGCTGCCTTTCAAGCAGCTGTGGGGGCAGCTAGCTGCCATTTAACTTGTCCTAGAGGCACTGCTGTGCTGAAAGAAGTCAGCCCTTCTTTCTTCATCTTCCTATTCATTGTATTGTCCCATTTGCTGTGGCAAGTGTTGCCTCCCTCATTCTTTCTTCCTTTCTTTATGTAGGTGTTTTCCCTGTTTGTGTATTTAAGGTGACAGTCCTCTCTGGCAGCAGTATGACACTGGCCCTGCTCTGTGCACTCCCATTGCCTCCACTGTGCAGTTGCAGGAGATTGCGTCTGGTCAGCTGAGTCAGCTGGCTACACTGGCAGGAAATCTGCAGTTCTTTTGCTGAGTTAGTTTTCTAGTGGTTTAGTGAGCTGAATAGTCTGATCAGGGAGTCACTGCAGAATCAGTGCTGGAGGAGGAAGGGAATGGGGTGCAGCAAAGTTCCACTGGCATGCTAAGAGAAGGATAATTTCCACAGAGTGAGGAAACCTAACTCTGAATCAAGCTTTGATTTTCACCTGAGGTTCCTCCTCCACTTATTGCAACTACACATCCTATTGGCTTCTGACAGGATAGAAATAATAAGTAATTGAAGTAACCCTTGAAATGTCACCAGCATATTGTTTTTACAATTAGTGAATTCAATTAGCATCTGCTCACTCCCCTCCTATTTCTTTTATTTACTTTCATAGGGATTTGTGCTACTAGTGGCATTCCAAGCACTATTTAGTTTTGCTCGCAGGTGACAGGGCTCACATCGAACACTTAGCTAGAAACTTCAGGGCTATTAGTACCTGGAAGCATTTCTTGATCTCAAGTTTTGGAATATTAATGTTAATTGCCATCGTTGTGTATGAGTGCTGCAGCATAGGAGACCTTGTGTTTCCCTGGTGGTACTGTTGAGGGGAAATGTCACAGGTTGAGAGTGCAGCAGCACCATGCTGCTGAGTACCCTCCTGTGCGTGGTGATGAGCTGGCAGAAAAAAACTGCTTCTTTTAAATGAACAAGAGGAGGAATTGCTTGCTGTCAGTGGCTTGAGTTTATTTACAACATAGATGATGCTGGTTGGGCAAAGAAGAGGGTGAGATTGCTTGGGATGGGAGGGTGATGGGAAAGGGAGGGTGGTGATGGAGGCTTGGGGATGCTGTCAAATGGATGGTGTGGCCTTAGAGGAAGAGAGTGAGGGAGATTTTTCCCTTTGCTGCAAGCTTCTGGGGGATAATTCAGTTGCATCAGGATTCTTTGCCCTAGAAGGGGCTATCACTAGTGTGGAAATACCCTAGAATAAGTCTGCATGAAAACATGGTGAAATTAGCAGGAATGCTTATATCTTAAAGCTGTGCAGCTCCTGTCCCTTCTCACCCATAAAATGAGTGATGTGAGTTGGGGAGCTGTTTGAGGTGTGGAAGGTGCTCAGCTGGTAACATAGAGGAAGAATGAAAAGCACTGATAATTTGACCTTTCTGCTCCAGCAGCTATAGCATCCTCCTTGTAATGACAGAGCTTGAACAAACCCAGCTGTGCTAGAAAGCAACATAACATCAGAGAGAATAGCAGAGCCATAATTTAAGCTATGGCAAAATGGGACTGATTCATACTCAAAGGCTTGCGTGCTGGCTGCCTTATCAGAATAACAGCCTCATGTGCTTCAGGTGCAACTCGGGCCAGTGGAGAAGCAGCTGCAGATCCCCCATGCTGCTGGCAGGGCAGGGACTGTCAGGGTGGTGCTTTGAGCACTGGGTAAGACAGCATAGAGCTGCAGCCATTGCCCTCATGGGTGAAACCTGGGAGAGAGAATTGCATCTCTTCTATTTAATATCTATCTGCAGTTAAAATCTTTTCTTTTTTTTTTTCCTTTGCCTCCTTTAAAACTGAATGCACAGAGAGGCATCTTCTAGTATTGATAGCTCTATAGATAGCAATGACAATTGAAATTGGTAAAGCAAGGTATTTTTTTCATTCACTTGATAGCTGCAAAAACAGCTAAGCAGCAGATTGCAAACAGTGCATTTTGACCCACACTGAAGAGGAATAAATACAGAAATAACCAATAATTAGCAGAGGAATTGGGCAAAACATGGTTTTATGTAAGATACTAAGGAAGGAGCTATGCTCTTTGGCAGTATTTGTAATCAAAATACTGTTTTATAGTAAAATTTCATTTTGCAAGTTAATGCTGAAGTTAATTAAAATGGTGGATGTCTACTTCTGGCTGCTTTCTAGACCTCTGTTTGCACGCTTAGTTGCACACTAACCGGCTTTAATAAAAACTATTTTTCATTAACCTTCTGTGCTAGGCACAGCATCTGTTATAAGTATACAGAATAGGAAATTGTTTTTTAAACACAATGAGTAGGCTTGTAGTACCTGTAGAGATCAGTAATGTTTGAAGAGGGTGTATTTCATACTGGGTGAAAAAAAAAAAACATTTTGTCCTTTTAGATTGTCAGTTCTTTCCTGCCTAAAATCACCCATCTGAGGATAAATAATGGCTTTCATTGTTCGTATATAACTGGGTTTATTACTTTTGTCTTTATGGAAAATGTATTGCTTACAGAAAACATAGAGGACAAATGAACAGTCTCCAGTGTCTTTAAACTCCTGAGATGAATAAAACCAAGAGTAAGGATTTTCTTCCTTTGAGCAATGTAAACATATCTTCTTAGAACAGAGTCTCACCAGTAGTTACATGAATACCTTTGCAGTATCATTTAGGAATTTTTTCCTTCAGAAGATAAAGGTAGGGGATGAGTAATAGCTATGCTGCACGTTGTTGTCTTATTGGATAAGGCAAATTCTAACAGATAAATCTTGCCACAGGATCCTCTTTTCCAAAGATTATCTCAGATTGTGCCTCAAGTTTGGCTTTTGCTGCTGCTTGTTTCTGTGCAGTTATGCATTTACCTGTCTGTGAATGAGAATATGGGTCTGAGGGTTTTTAAACTGTGATTGAAGCTTTGGCATTAATGCAGATTGAGTTTACAGTAAAACTGTTGTGGCTGATGAGGGTTATAAACATCCATAATTAAGCAAGTGCTATTTTTCTTGGCTTGTTGGAAATTACAACTTCTAGTACTAAGCTTGAATTTGCATTATGGGATACCTATCTCTCCTTTCTGCAAGAAAATGAACAGTTTTTACAGTATCTACTACAATTTCAATCATACCTGCCAGCCTTGCTTCTTCACTTTTTTTACTCATACATTAATCAGGAGAAGAATTCTTGTGAAATACTGAAATGAAAGGACAATGAAGACAGGGAAGAAAAACTACTGTGGGAGTTTCTTCTGAGAAATCTTGAAATGGAACTGGTGAAGAATGAGGATTTATTTATACAATAGAAAATCAAGCCATCCATTTTAGACTTCAAAACCTGCCCCCATTATTGTAGTAGTTTTATTAAATTGGTTTACAATGGCTATTTGCAGTATTGGTCACTTATGAGATCACAGTTGGAAGCTGTTGTGAGAAAATGCACATGCAGTTTAATATGCTTAAAAGGTCAAGCCCTGAAACACTTAACTGGTTCAGCTAAAGCTAACAACTCTGTGGTACCATTACACTACAGAAAAGTCTAGATGTGCCATTTGTCAGGACAGAGGGACGATGGGTG